GCCCCCTCGGCTCGGAATCCGGCCCCGGCGCCCTCGGCACCGCCCGCCCGGCCCCGGCCCCGCGGACCATGCGCCGGGCGCACCCCGGGGAACCACACGGGGCCGAGAGCCCGCAAGGACGAGGCTCCCGGGCGGGGGCCCCTCCCGGCAGCCTGGCTCTCGACCCGCGCCCTGCCCCGCGTCCCGGCGCCGCGTGAGCCTGGGGGCCATGGAGCGCGCGCCGCCCGACGGGCCGCTGAACGCGTCCGGGGCGCTGGCGGGCGAGGCGGCGGCGGCGGCGGCGGGCGGGGCGCGAGGCTTCTCCGCCGCCTGGACCGCGGTGCTGGCCGCGCTCATGGCGCTGCTCATCGTGGCCACGGTGCTGGGCAACGCGCTGGTCATGCTCGCCTTCGTGGCCGACTCGAGCCTCCGCACCCAGAACAACTTCTTCCTGCTCAACCTTGCCATCTCCGACTTCCTCGTGGGTAAAGCCCCCAGCCCTCGCCCGCCGCTGGAGCCCAAGGGCGCCCAGCCCGGCCCGGCCAGCGGGGATTGGAGCACGGACCGGGGTGGCTCCGGCAGGCGCACGCCCCGCCAGGGGGCCGGCCTTGGAAGGGGGCGTCCGCAGCCCGTGGGGCGCGTGGGCACTGGCGAATTTCCGTGCCACCAGGGCCGCGGGACGGGGGCTCGAGAGGGATGTCCGCGGGGAAGGGGCGCGAGCCTGCGGGCGCGCAGGAGGCGCAAGGCGCAGCGACCGCGGGTGCAGCGCTGGCTCCGGCGCCGTAGCTAAACAAAGGCTGCTGCGGTCTCGGGACGCGGGGAGGGCGCTGGGGGGCGGTTTGGGGAAGGTTTGGGGGAAGGGACATGGGGGGATTTTTAGAGCTGCGTTGGGGGAAGGGCCCGTGGGGCAGGCGACGGGGGGGGAGAAGCTCCGAGCGAGGAACGCGCTCTCACGTGTCGGTGCTCTGCTGCCGGCTGGGGGGCGGGGCACGCGGAGGGGCAGAACGCCAGACACCTGTTGGGGCTGCGAGGTGCGTCTCCCAGACGCCTGAAGCGGGGGCTGGCGGTGGGAGCGGCTGGCCTGGCTGCCGCCAAGTTCCCTGTCAGCCAGAAGGAAGGCTCTCCGGGATTCTAAGCTCCAGAGAGGGAGGGCTGTCCCACGGCAGCGTGGCGGGGGGGACGCTTGGGGACAGGGAAATTATCCTCCTTCCTCTCTTTGAGGGCTGGGATGGCTGGGCAGAAGTCCAGGGAGTCCTGACTCCTGGCGCTCTGAGTCCTGCGGTTCCCAGAGGTCCCCATGCTTGGATCTTCCCTCCTGCCCCCAAGTCCGGGGTCACCAGTGGGGCTGGGAGCTGCGAGGGGGTGAAGGCAGCAGCAGGGCAGAGTGTGTGGTGAGGAGACCAGGCGCAAGTGGGGAGGATGAGGTGGTGGGTCCCAGAGAGATGGCCCCATGTGCCCCCCGGTCCTGCCCTCCTCTCCGCGGAGGTCAGGCCGGCCTGAGTCCCGTCCGGGCGTGGCCCACAGCAGCTCTCCCTCAGGTGCCTTCTGCATCCCGCTGTACGTGCCCTACGTGCTGACCGGCCGCTGGACCTTCGGCCGGGGCCTCTGCAAGCTGTGGCTGGTGGTGGATTACCTGCTGTGCACGTCGTCCGTGTTCAACATCGTGCTCATCAGCTACGACCGCTTCCTGTCAGTCACCAGAGCTGTGAGTCCGGGATGGCCATGGGAGCCATGGGGAGGGGCGGCCACTTCCGAGTTGTGGGCAGGTGCCGCTGGGCTTGGTCCCTGACGTGCGGGCATCTACGGCTGGCTCCCGCGCTGGGGCACCTGCTGCCGGCAGCACTGGCCTGGGCCCAGGCCGGGGGCAGGGAGTCTGGACTTGGAATCAGACGCTCCTGAAGGAGGGGGTCACTGCAGCCTCCGCCCTGGGACACGTCCAAAGTCCCTGGAGTTGAGGGAAGATCTGGGGCCAGGGACCCCAGCGGCATCACGCACACACGCACAGGCCCCAGGAAGACGAGCAGCAGCTCCCGGCTCACGTTTCCTTTCGTGTGAGTGGCCGCCATGAGTTAGGGATCCTGGCCCCGCCCAGGACCCCTGCGTCGGTGCCACCTGGGCATGGGGCGCTGCCGCCAGAGTCCCTCCTTCGCTTGTCTCCTCCTTGATGGCTCACCCACCCAGGCCTTGTCAGGGGTCCTTCTCCAGGGTGGGCACATGTTTTCTTCCAGCCTAGAAGGGCTGAGGGACAGGTGCAAGGAGCGTGGGTTTGAGAAGATGAATGAGTCACGCGAGGGGCCGTGCAGAGCCTGGCACGGGCAGGTGCCCACAGACTCTGATCAGCAGTAGCTCCGACCACTGCTCCCGTCGTGATCTGGCTGGTGGGGGTGCGGGTGGGGGCCCTGGGGGGGACCCTCATGTCCTTCTGCCTGAGACCCCTCACTGGGACCTTTGGCTGCCAGCTGGTTGCTCTCACACTTGGGGTCTGCAGCCTCGAGCCCCGCGCTCTACTGTTCTTCCTGCGGAGGTCCCAGTGTGGGTCTGGGGTGCTTTGTTGCTGGGGGGAAAGGGGATTCTCTCAGCAATGGGCCAGCCGGTGGCTTCATGCCTGCACCTGCAGCTCCCAGGAGAGCGAGCACCCGCCCGTGGCCAGAGTGAGCCTCCCCTGGAGCACGGGAGCCTCAGGAGGCGGCTCAGGCCTTGGCAGGTTGGCGGTTTTGCCCACCGTTTTTTTTTGCCCCGGGGTTTTGGCGGGGGTTGGGCCTTTTGTTGGGGGGTGGGGGCTGGACAGGTCCCCCGGGGAGCACACAGCTGTAGGGGTGGTGCACAGGTAGCCCGGCACAAAGTTAGGATTCGGGTGATCTTGGGGAGATTCTGCAGCTCTAGGCAAGCGGCAGGGCATGAGCCAGCTGGTGGGGGCACCCGGCGGGTAGGGTGCAGGAGGGGAAGGGGATGGAGGGGGGAAGGGGAGGAGAAGGGAAGAGCATTGCTGCCCAGGGAAGGGCATGCCCAGAGGCCCAGAGGCTGCCGGGAGCTCCCGGTCCCACACTCCCGCCTCCCGCTTTGCTCCTGACCCAGCCTGTTCCCCCGCAGGTCTCGTACCGGGCCCAGCAGGGTGACACGCGGCGGGCGGTGCAGAAGATGCTGCTGGTGTGGGTGCTGGCCTTCCTGCTGTACGGGCCGGCCATCCTGAGCTGGGAGTACCTGTCTGGGGGCAGCTCCATCCCTGAGGGCCACTGCTACGCCGAGTTCTTCTACAACTGGTACTTCCTCATCACGGCCTCCACCCTGGAGTTCTTCACGCCCTTCCTCAGCGTCACCTTCTTCAACCTCAGCATCTACCTGAACATCCAGAGGCGCACCCGCCTCCGGCTGGACGGGGCCCGAGAGGCAGCCGGCCCGGAGCCCCCGCCCGAGGCCCAGCCCTCGCCGCCGCTGCCGCCGCCGGGCTGCTGGGGCTGCTGGCAGAAGGGGCACGGGGAGGCCATGCCGCTGCACAAGTGCGGGGCGGGCGAGGCGGGCGCCGGCCCCGAGGCCGGGGAGGCAGCCCTTGGGGGCAGCGGGGGGGCGGGGGCCGCGGCCTCGCCCACCTCCAGCTCCGGCAGCTCCTCGAGGGGCGCCGAGAGGCCGCGCTCACTCAAGAGGGGCTCCAAGCCCTCGGCGTCCTCAGCCTCGCTGGAGAAACGCATGAAGATGGTGTCCCAGAGCTTCACTCAGAGCTTCACCCAGCGCTTCCGGCTGTCGCGGGACAAGAAGGTGGCCAAGTCTCTGGCTGTCATCGTGGGCATCTTCGGGCTCTGCTGGGCGCCGTACACACTGCTGATGATCATCCGAGCGGCCTGCCACGGCCACTGCATCCCCGACTACTGGTACGAGACGTCCTTCTGGCTCCTGTGGGTCAACTCGGCCGTCAACCCCGTCCTCTACCCGCTGTGCCACCATAGCTTCCGCCGGGCCTTCACCAAGCTGCTCTGCCCACAGAAGCTCAAGCTCCAGCCCCACGGCTCCCTGGAGCACTGCTGGAAGTGAACCCCGCCACCACCCACAGCCAGCCCTCCGCCCTGGTGTCCTGGGCAGCCCCCGTGGTGAGCCACGCCTTGTCTGAGGCCCCCCCAAATGCCACGGCAGCCTCTCTCGGGCCACCTGCCCTACCGGGGAGGCAGCGTGTCGGGCTGGCCAGAGGGGCCATCGCTGGCTCGGAGAGTGTGAGCGGCTGGTCCTGCCACCCACATCCTGGCTCCACCCCAGGTGGGAAAGTCCAGGGGTCCCGGCCATGCCATCCACCCCCACAGACAGTGCTGTGGCCAGTGGTGTCTGCCCTTCACAGTCCCCGGTTGGCGTTCTTCCCAAAACCAGTGCTTGGTGTGTATCCCGCCTCCTGCACGCGCACACACCCGTGCACACCCACACACCGCCCTTCTCCCCAGACAAGCCCGGGACGCCGCCTTTGCTGCTGTCTGTCTCTTGCTGAAGCCTAGGGCCTGGCTCCTTCGTCCTCCTTCCCTCCAGCTCTCTCTGCCACCCAGCGTCGAGTGGCCCAGGACCCTCGAAGCTGCTCTCCACGTTTCCATTCTGGGTGTTTCCAGGAGGATGAAGAAGAAAACACGTCTGTGAACTTGATGTTCCCTGGATGTTTAATCAAGAGAGACAGAATTGCTGAGGAGCTCAGGGCTGGATTGGCAGGTGTGGGCTCCCACGCCCTCCTCCCTCTGCCGCTTCCGGCTGAGCTGCACCAGCTGCTGCTGCCCGCTCCGCCCCCGGCCCGGGGCGCTGGGCCTGGCGGCTGCGGAGCGCCGGAGCCTGACCTGCCGTCCCGCCAGAGCCTGCCCCAGCCTTTCCATCTGCTCAGCCCGGACTTCCTGGGGATTGCTGGGTAGGAGGGGACCCAGCTGTGCCCTCGGGGTCCTGAGGCTGGCAGGGCAGTCAGCAGGAGAGCAGGCCTGAGGGACGCCCGAGAGGGGCCGCTTCCATGTTCTGTGCACCCGTGCCAGGCACCCTGCATGCGCCACTGCCACGTGCCCGCTACGCACCCTGCAAACCCTGAGGTCACAATAAAGTGTATTTTTTTATTGGTGCTGATTCTTAAGGACCATGTTGGGGTGGTCAGAGCCCCTGTGCTTCGGTCAAGGGCCCCAGGGAAGCGAGAGACCTCCAGCAGCAGGCGAGAGGCACGGGCCTCGGTGTCGTCAGCCAGGTGGGGGCTGCTGCGGGCAGAGAGGACCTGACCCAGCAGGGCTTAATCCCAGAAGGGACTCCCGGGACCCCTGAGCGCTCAAGACCCCGAGGGTGAGGAGATGCCACCTGCACTCCCGCTCGGGGGTGGGGGCCCCCTCCAGCCTGGAGGATACAGACACACAGCCCTGCCCTGATGCAGGACGGGGTGCTCGTCTGCCTTTGCCAGGAGCCGGGAGGCCCGGCTGCACCCTGGCAAGACTCAGGGCCTGGGATCTTGGCCGCCCCATGTATGCGGGGGTCGGGGAGCGGGGTGGGGTGGGGTGGGGGCAGGGCAGGACTGCAGGGCACACCCGGGTGTGGGGGCTGGGGCTGGGCGATCTTGTCTTTGGTAGAGGCCAGCCTAGGCAAGGCCTGGGGGTGGGGCTGAGGGTGCGAGATGGGGACGCTGGGAGGAGGGTGGAAAGGGCAGATGGTGCCCTCCTCAGTGAGCTCGGCGGTGAGCCCTCAGTCCCAACGGCAGCTGCATGGGTCCTGGGGGCCTGCAGAGCGGGAGGCAGACACCTGCCCCCACCCAGGTGCTCAGAGGCCACTTGGAAACTTGGGGGGCTGGGTGCCAAGCCCTCCGCAAGTCCCCGCTCCAGCCTGGAGGGCCCTTCTCGCTCTGACCCTCACTCCCGCCCAACGGTGCTGCCACGCCGCGCAGGACTCCGGCCACTCTCGTGCCAGGTGCCAGTTCCACCTGGACGCGGCGGCGTGGCCCTGCACGCAAGCACCCAGCAGCTCTGCCCCCCATGCTGCAAAGGGGAAACTGTCGGTGACACCCCTCGGCTTCCAGGCCCTTCATCACACCTCACAGCCATGGATGTGCTTTTATTCTCCAAACTTCCCAGAAAACTTCCCCAGAATCCAAAGCTCCACCCTGCTCCGGCTCTCACTGAGGCAGGACCCTCTTCTTGAGCAGAAGACATAGGGCCCCTCCTTAGTGACCAGAGGGAGGTGAGTCTGGGGACACGTGGGCCTTCCACCATTAATTCCGTCCCAGCTCCGCGTGCCCAGGGCTGGGCACTGTTCCGGGCAGGGCTGGAGCAGCGGTGGCAGGTGTCACCTTTAGGGCTGAGCCCCTCCTGTCTCTGGGGGCCCCGTGGCTCCTCCAGCAGGCCAGACACTGGCCCCCATGAGACCCCGCAACCCCAGCCTGGCCCCCCAGTGGGTGTGGGTCCCGCAGCCCGGAGCTGTCTGGCGAAGGACAAAGCGCCCTTCTCTGCAGCGATGGGCGCTTCCGCGCCAAGAGCCCAGCCGCAGCCCTGGCTGCCCCTCCACCCGGCCCAGCTAAATGGCTACAAATTGGAGGATAAAAGCACAGGCTTTCAAGCAATTTTGCCTTCAATCTCTGGAAACCGCCGCTCCCTGGAGCTCCGGTGCGGGATGGAGGAGGAGAGGAGAGCAACACCGAGTCTGCTGGGCCCGCATTCTGTGGCAAACAAACACGCAGGGCCTTTCTCCTTGAGCCGGAGTCTAAGAGACACGGTCGCCACCTGCAGCTGCCCACCCGGCCGGCTCACTTATTGGGCACCTACTGGGCGCCAGGCTGTGCTGGGAACGGCACAGGGGCAGCCCCTGAGCTGCTGGAGGCAGACCCACAGCCAGGCAGCCACTACGCCCGTGACGGTGGCAGTGCCCAGGACACAGGATGCTGCCCTGCGTGCACGTGGGTGGCCTGGCCACCCAGCAGGGGCCACCTGTAGGCCCCAGGCTTGGGGCCAGCAGGGGTCTCCAGGGCTCTCCTGGCCAGGCCCTCAGGGGTGGGCATTGGCTGTGCAAGCCCAGCCTGGTCACCTGCCCTGCTGCTGGCTCTGGGTCTGGGGGCCCCAGGGACAGACTCTGGGCTCAAGCCGGGTGAGGGTCCCTCCCGGCCGGGGTTAAAGACCCTGAGCTCTCAGGGAGCCCAGCAGGCAAACCCAACCCCGTCCTTCTGCAAAAGGTCACGTTACTGGGGAGCCAGGGTCATGACAGGGATGGCTAGACCCCAGGCAAGCCTTCCAGAGCCCTGAGGTGTGGGGGCCACATGGCTGTCTGGCCACTGCTTCTCTGCCCCCATCCCAACCGGCATTCATGGCTGGGCTTGGGGGTGTGAAGAACCTTTCACCGACATTTATGGGGCTCCTCCTGGTGCCAGGCCCAGGCTGTGCGCCCCGTTCCCTGGGGTGCGTGTCCTCTCCCTTCTGCAGACGTGAGACTCGGGCGAGGCTGGCGCCTCCCATCGCGCTCTTCCCACGGCATCCCGCGCTCCCGGAGCACCTGCTGTGTCTGGTGCCACGGGGAAGCCGGTCTCCCCGGCACACGGTGCTCTCGGGGGACAGGGTCCAGGCCTCGTCAGCTCTGTGTACTGCGGCTGGCAGGGGTGCCCCCAGGGTGGAGAGCAGAGCGGGACAGCTGGAAGGACTTCGTGAGCCTCAGACCCAGACCTCAGCTCTGCTGATTGTAACAGGAAGCCGCGATTGAGCGCCACTGTGTGCACTCTGTTGTGCTGGTCACGGGGCTGGGAAAGCAGCCTCGGCCCTTGCTGAGCCTGCGCTTCAGGAATTGGGGGGCAGAGAATGGAGGAGCAGGCAGGGTGGGCTGCGGAGCCCAAAGTCCCAAGGGGAGGCCCAGTTGCCCAGGCCAGGCAGCAAGTGTGCCTGGAGAGGAAACTGAGGCGGGGGCGGGGAATGTCCCGGCCTAAACAGCAGGTCCGCATCAGGCTGGCACTCAAATCCGGGCATGCTGAGGGGGCGCCAGCCCTTCCCCTTCCTGTCCCAGCAGGCCTGAGGGACCAGGGTGGGGGTCCTGGGCCTGGCTTCTTCCTCCGGGCAGGCACAGCCGCCTTGGAGGGGCAGCGGGGTGTTGTCACTGAGGTGGCCTCTGCCAGGGCCCCCAGGCACCGGCTGGCACCAGCTCTGTCGCCTGACTGCAGCGCCGCAGGCCCTTCGCCCGCGTGGGCAGGAAGCAGCTCCTCGCCCGCCGCAGGCCTCCCCGTCATTACCAAAATTGCCCCATTGTTGGCGGCGCCGCACCTGCTCCCAGCGGACAGCGCTGCGCTAACCTGTCATTAAGCGCCCGGCCTCCCGCCTCCCGGCAGGCGGGCTGCAAGGTGGCTGGGGGGGAGGCTGGGGGGTTGCCTCTCCCCACCCCCCCTGCTTCCTATCCCCTGGGGTGGGAGTGAGCAGGGCACTGCAGGTCGGTGGGAGCCGTGCCACTTCCACTCTGACCCCGGGTGCGGCCCTCGGCCCCCGGGGACCAAGCAGCCCCTCCCTTGCCGGGGCCTCAGGAGCCCAGACCCCTCCCTGGGACTGGGGGGACATCCAGGGGCTGGCAATCCTAGATCAGGAGTCGGGGTCAAGGGTCAAGCTCCAGAGGGGCTTGAGTTTCCCCTCTGAGGACACGCAGGGCCACCTGGGGGTGGAGGGGACCCACCGGCTGCAGCAGGGAGGGGCGGGGGGAGGCTGAGACCCCCCAGCGCCCGCCTGCAGGGCCATGCGCAGCCTGCGGTGAGGACGGCTCCGGGTCATAGCACGTGCTGCGTCCCAGGCCCCGTTCTGAGCCCTTTTCTTAGCTAAGCTCATCTAGTCCTCCAACAGAGCAGTACTGCTACTCCCGTGTCACAGGTGGGGAAACTGAGGCAAGAGAGGTTAAGAGACCCGGTCAAACATCGCCAATGAGAAGCTAAGTTGGTGCTGGTGTCCCTCCGTGGCCGTTTTCCCAACTCCCTCAGCTCTTGGGGCCACCTTCTCCTCCCCTCCTGAGCCCGCCCCCTCAGGCACTTGCCCAGGAGACGCAGTTCTCCGGGGAACCACCGCTCCCCTGCTCCGGCAGGCTCAGCAGGGCCAGCCCCAGCCCTGGGCTCCAGGATGCATTTGCACCCCA